TATTTTTCAATTGAACCATCAGGCTTCATCTTCCTCTTGAAAATCCACTTATACCCTAAAGGTTTAGCACCAGGAGGAAGATCCACCAGCTCCCAAGTATGATTTTGCATGATGGATTCAATTTCACTATTTATGGCTTCTTTCCATAAATTAGCTTCAGGAGAAGACATAGCTTCCTTGTAGCTTTGTGGCTCATTCTCCAATATATATGTCAGAAAGTCAGGACCGAATGACTTAGACGTTCTAGCTCTTTTGCTACGTCTAGGTTCTTCCTTATTTTCATCATTTATAGACTCTTGGTCTATATTCTCTTGTATATTGCTATTAGCAGTATCATAATTTCTTTTAAGAGGATTTTTGCATGGAAATATATCCTCAAAGAAATAAGCATTCCTTGACTCAATAATTGTATTGACATGGATATCAAGAATGTCTGATTTATGCACAAGAAAACGATATGCACTACTATTCTGTGCATAGCCTATGAAAATACCATCAAAGGTTTTTGGTCCTATCTTAACTTTCTTAGGAGTAGGAACCGCAACCTTAGCTAAACACCCCCACACTTTTAAGAATTTATAGGAAGGTTTTTGACCTTTCCATAATTCATAAGGTGTCACATTTGATTTCTTTTGAGGTACCTTGTTGAGAACATAATTAGCAGAGAGCAAAGCTTCCCCCCACAAATTCTGGGTTAAACAAGAACTTATTAACATAGCATTCATCATTTCTTTTAAGGTACGGTTTTTGCGTTCAGCAACACAGTTCTGTTGAGGTGAATAAGGAGCGGTAGTTTGGTGAATAATACCATGTTCTGAACAAATGTCAGCGAATGGTATTTCGTATTCACCACATCTATCACTTCTAAACATCTTTATCTTTTTTCCAAGTTGATTCTCAACCTCATTCTTGTAATGTTTAAACATTTCCAAGGCTTCATCTTTACTTCTTAACAAGTATACATAACAATATCTTGTGCAGTCATCAATAAAAGTAACGAAATACTTTTTCCCACCTCTAGTTGGCACAGATTTAAAGTCACAGATTTCACTGTGAATTAATGCTAGAGGTTCAGTACTTCGCTCTATGGAGTGAAATGAGGTTTTAGTCAATTTTGCTTCTACACATGTTTGGCATTTTTGATTTAAATCAATATTAAATTTAGGTATAGATTCCATGTTAATCAATCTACGAATAGTATCATAATTAACATGTCCTAACCTACCATGCCATACATCAGATGAGTCAATAATATAAGCAGAAGAAGCACTAGCTTTATTATTATCATTAATAGCTTTGGGTACAACAGTCATTACATTGAACTTAAATAGTCCATTACTTAGATATCCTTTGCCCACATACACCCCATTCTTAGTCAGCACAAACTTATCAGATACAAAGACCAGCTTGAACCCATTCTTGCTTAGTAGTGACCCAGAGACCAAGTTCTTCCTGATGTCTGGTACATGCAGCACATTATTAAGAGTGAGCTCTTTCCCTGAGGTCATTAGTAGCTTGATCTTTCCTTATCCTTCAACCTTTGCAGTAGAAGAATTCCCCATGTAGAGTTGTTCTTCATTATTTATAGTTTCATAGGTAGTGAACATCCTCTTTTCAGAGCAAACATGACGAGTAGCTCCTGTGTCCACCCACCATTCTCTGTTGTTGCTTACCAGGTTGATTTCAGAAACCACAGCTGAAAGATTTAACTCTGATACATCAGCTGTCAACTTATCTTCTTCAGCTATGTGCACCTCAGTGGTCTTCTTCTTGGGGTTATGATGTGTTTTGCGGCTACGACAATCTTTAGCTCGGTGTCCTAGCCTGCCGCATATGAAACACTTCCCAGTGAACTTCTTGTAGTTTCCTTGACTAGGACCTTCTCCAGAGTGCTTCCTCTTCTTATTTTTCTGTCCTGCTTCCACTACATTTGCCTTTGACACTATTGAAGAATTTCCGGCTCTCTTTTCAGATGTACTGTTATCTTCTTCAATTCTCAGCCTGACAATTAAATCTTCGAGTCCCATTTCCTTGCGCTTATGCTTCAAGTAATTTTTGAAATCTTTCCAAGTAGGTGGCAGCTTTTCAATGATTGAAGCTACTTGAAAGGATTCACTCAATGTCATCTTCTCAGCATGTATCTCATGTAGGATCAGCTGGAGCTCCTGCACTTGGCTCACGACTGTCTTGGAGTCTATCATTTTGAAGTCCAGAAATCGTCCAACCACGAATTTCTTCAATCCAGCATCCTCTGTTTTATACTTTTTGTCTAACGACTCCCAAAGCTCTTTAGCAGTATTTATTGGACTGTACACATTATATAAGGTGTTGTCCAATCCATTGAGGATGTAATTCTTGCATAGGAAGTCTCCATGCTTCCATGTATCAACAGCTCCAAGTTTGGTAATGTCTGTATCACCCTCATCTAATACTGGAGCAGTCTCAGTCAGATACTTGCTTAGATTCAGAGTTGTAAGGTAGAACATCAGTTTCTGTTGCCACCTTTTAAACTTTGTCCCGTTGAATTTTTCGGGCTTCTCCCCATGACTGACGGGAACATTAGGCACGGTAATACTCGTACTTGCCATTTGTCTGTTATATATTGATATACAGACCATGAGTCAAATTATAATTAATTATAACAAGAATAATAATTAAATAATTATTACTATAGTATAAAGATATCTGTCTTAAGATTGTTGAAAAATAAAAAAATTAATTATGTATCATATACTATAGTATAAAAGAACCTGATAAAGTCGAGGCTAGAATTTAATTCTATAGCCTTAAGACAGATACGCCCCGCTACGGTGCTAACGGACTCTTCAGCGTCTATCTCCCAGGATACAACGACTTTTCTTCCTTTGGTAGTAGCACTTCAAACCAATGGAATAGGCGAACCGGCTCGGTGTAGTAATCTCTGTTGAACTCAGACTCGGAGACCAGGATTGAACCCTAACTCGGAGACCAAGATTGAACCGAAACTAGGAAACCAAGATTGAACTGAAACTTGGAAATCAAGGTTCGAACCCAATCCAAACCAGTTTAGGTTGAACCCAAACCAGTGGCTGAACCGAACAAAGAAGAATTAGAAGAAGAAATTCAGAAGAAGAGAAGAAGATTTCTGAACTTGGTGTGTTTTGAAATGAAGACAATGATGGGTATTTATAGGCTTGTTGGTGCCTATTCTGAATGGGTGCACCCATAATCCGAATGGGTGCAACCATTGTTGACCAATCAGAATTAAAAAACTGTTGGTGGTTTTTTAATTTGTAAAGGGTGCAACTCTTGGTTCAAATTCTGATCCAGCCCTTTAATTTCGTCCAGTCCAGCAAGCAAATAATCCAACTCATTAATTCAGCCCAGTAAACAGGCCCATTTTGATAAGTCCAGCATCAAAATAAAAACCACACAGGCCCATTCCAACTTTGGGTAAAAAGTTAAACCCATTTCACAATCAAGCCCCGACCGGGTCGGGCGGGCGGCGCGCGCGTGTGGTAGTTGGTTCGGATCCAGGCTAGCCTAGGTCCTCCCCCTCTTAAAAACTTGGGTGCCCTTGGGCCCAAACCCAAATCCCATACTAGACATATTTATACTCAAGGTTGCTTTGCTACTTTTTCGATGTAGGACAAGCATTTCCCACTTTATTCACACTCATTTAGGCTTTATAAGCATCAGTAGATTTGCAAAAAATTCTTAGCGGAATCTTTTTAAAAATCCTTTAAAAATCCTTCCAAAGTTTGCGTTTTCTAATGCCGTTTCCAACACGATCCTGGTGTCGATCGCCACTATTAACCCTTGATATGTGCAGGATGTAGCTTCCGGCCGGCACCCTTGCCTTAGTCTAAAGCAACGGCTGAATCGGGTTCACGTTTAACTCCAGATTGAACTTGGCTACTTGCCAGTAGCCGAAAGATCCGAGAACGCTTCATCGGTGGGGACGAACAAGGTAATTCTGGCACCACCTTCACAGGCTTCACCATCAGCAGCATAATTCTGGCGCCGCCTTCACTGACTTCACCATCGGTAACACGAACAGGTTAATTTCGGCACCGCCTTCACGGGATTCACCGTCGGCAACCATAACCTCGTTACTCTCGGCGCCATCACCAACATTTCAGAACCAAAATATTTCATCGCAACTGTAACTCAGTGTTAAGTCAACGCGTCTCATGCGACGTCAGTCATCTTCTTCCTCTAGATCGCCGATGTTCTCCTCACCACCGACCGCCTCACCATAACAGTTTACTGAACGCGACTCACCCCAACTCGTCCGAGTCCCGTCTCTGCTAAACCGAGTCAGGTCATTCGATTTCTCTCTCTACAGATCTAAACAGCCCGAACCATCACCTATAGCCGTGGGCATAGTCAGAGAGGGCGGTGACGGTGGTGTAGCCGGAGTGTGATGCCGCGAAGGCGTTGAGGATGATGACGGTGATGTGGTGGGAGAATGAGTGGAAAGGCGAAGTATTTTCCAATTTATAATCCATATAAACTTATAAACATATACACATATTTACATTACATACATATATATATATATACAACCACTCACCTTCTGACCCACTTCTTTCCGGCGATCATCCACCACCGGAATCACTCCGGCACCGACCTACCCTACCCATCTCTGCATATATTTTAAGTGAAGGGCATTACTATACTTTTGAGTTAATAAATGAATTGTAGTTTTGTAATTCTACATTGGTCAATAAGGCTAAATATGTAATTTCAGATATTAGAAGGCAAAATTAACCTTCTACAGAATTTTTCAGGGTGACATCAGCACACACCATCAGATGTTTAACGGTAGGGGCAATTTGGTATCTAAATAAAAATGTTAAGGGGTGTAAGTGAAATATTGAAACCAACAAAAAAATATAGGTGGGATATAATCAAAGTTCAGGGGTGTGTTGAAATTAACCCAATATTTTACTAAAAGTTTAGTCCAACCATTTTATGTTTCTAATGGCCCATCGAGTTGTCTTTTGTTCAAAAGCTGTGTAGTAATACAAACAGCACGAGCATCCATTCCACAGTTCCACTAGCCCATAAGCCCATTAACCTCATTAACCCATATGTCATCGGATTAAACTGAAGTTACTCTCATTGAAGACGCAGACGCAGACGCAGACGAAGACGAAGACGAGCACAGCCACAGCAGGCCTCTCCAACCTTCACCGATTGGTATGATTCCAACCCAATTACAAGGTTATTAATCTTAATCCAACACCAACTACAAGGTTATTACTCTCCCTCTCTCTGACGTGCTCTTCTTTCTCTCTCTATCCCCGAGCAGACCCTGAACAGTGAACACTCGCCAAGACCCTCTTTGCCAATTGGTATGATTCCAACCCAATTAGAGATCCAAGCCCATATGCTAATGGAAGCCCCTGTATCAAACTAATGCAATTGAAATTTTAAAACCCCAATTGATAGGCCCAACTGCAAAACTAGGGCACACAACACAAAGTTCCGCTCCTTCCTAGTTTCTACTGATAGACCCAACTGCAAAATAGGGCACACAGCACAAAGTTCCGCTTCTTTCTAGTTTCTACTGATAGACCCAACTGCAAAACTAGGGCACACAGCACAAAGTTCCGCTCCTTTCTAGTTTCTACTGATACAACCAACGTTAGGAACACTCTTCCAATCCCTATCCAAAAGCTCAGAAGAAGCACTCGTTCACTTCCCAGTCCTCAAATTGGAACAACAGAGGTAGGTATGCAAATCATCCTCCTCTCTAAGTTAATTTTGTCATCTTTCTTATTTTGCTGTCAATACGCTAGATTCAGATCTCATCATTTATATATTGAAGAATTTGATATATTATGCGTCTTCTTAGGGCCAACTGTAGCATACTATTTAAACAAAACGTGTTGTTGTATAAAAAAAAAAACACCACTTTTGGTGTATTGTTGAAAAATAAAATTATATATATCCCCATTGAAGAATGATATTTATTCATTTTATGTTTCTATTTCAATGCTGAACAACCGTTCTACACACAGATGACCTAAAAGTATAGAAAATCATGGGAGTCTGGTAAAAGGTTTTTGTATCCATCTAGATTAAGGCGGTTCAGGTTGGTGCATTTCAAGTTTTTTTGTGTTTTTTTTGTTTTTTTTCTTCTTTTGGGTGTGTGTGGTGGTTAAAGTTGGAGAATCTATTTACTGTGGACAGTCTTCATCAAGGTAGATATTATCCAGTAGATGTAATAAAGTTCTAGCAAAATCAATGTTCTTCAATCTTTCCATTTCTATGCTGGAAAGTTAGGAAACCTTGGTGATATTTATTACTTAACAACTGGGCACTGTATGGGATAGCGAGCATGAGTAGTCCAGCTATAAGTAGTTAGTAGAATGAAGAAACTAGAAAGATATGAATTACTTACAAACACAGGCCTTAGTACTAACACATATCTTTCAATCACACTTCATGTCTCTCTCTTGCTTTATGATTCTTTCTTTCATTGCATGGTTATTAAAAATTGAATTTGAACAACCTTCCTAATCACGAGAAAAAATAGACATATTCACTCCTCCCCTTCCCAGTCTATGCTCACCATATGTGATTCCATAGAATAACTGGGTTTTTCTCTACGCAACTTGAAGATTTTGCGGATTAAATGTAAAGAGCCATCAAAGCCCTATATGCTATTCCTTCTCCTTTTATAAAACAAGTAGCTTTAGATTTGCCATGATCCTATTGATTTTAACTTGTTGCTATTGTGCAGTTTTTGAGAGAAAGTGATGTTGGAGAACGAGGCAAATCCTTATCTCAGCAAGACAACTCGCCTGCCACGGAAACGATTCTATCGGGCACGAGCTCACAGTAACCCATTAAGTGACGCTCATTTCCCAGTTCCAATCACGCCTTCTCAGGTTGATTATTCCCTTCATTTCCCGCAACTCTTTCCATCATCTGATCAAGATGCTAGTTCCAAAAAGATCCAGTTTGCAGACATCGGTTGTGGTTTTGGAGGTCTTTTAATTAGTCTTTCGACCCTTTTCCCTAGGACCCTGATGATTGGTATGGAATTGCGGGACAAGGTAACGGAGTACGTCAAGGAACGGGTCTTGGCATTGAGGATCGCTAATCCTGGTCAGTACCAGAATATCTCGGTTGTCCGGACTAACTCCATGAAATACATTCCAAATTACTTTGAGAAAGGACAGCTTTCAAAGATGTTTTTCCTGTTCCCTGATCCTCACTTCAAGGAGAAAAATCACCGCCGTCGGGTGATCAGCCCACACTTGTTAGATGAGTATGCTTACACTCTTGAGGTTGGTGGGATTATATACACAATTACAGATGTAGAAGAACTTGGAGCGTGGATGAAGACTTGTTTGGAGGGTCACCCAATGTTTGAAGTGCTCACAGAGGAAGAACTTGATGTCGATCCAGTTGTAAAGCTCTTGAACTCTGCAACTGAGGAAGGACAAAAGGTTGCGCGAAATGGAGGGCAAACTTTCAAATCAGTTTATAGACGCATTGTGCCGAAGGTTTGACTTTCAAAAGTGCAGATGTTCATGAACTATCATGCATCAACATGTTCTGCCAGTGGCTATTCATGGTCACCTCCACCCTGTACCTGTAGCATGGTATGGTGGTAAATGCCTATTTAAACTCCCTTCTTTATTAATGTCAAAAGAATCTCCATGCTGATCATCTTTTTCTTTCTTTTCTCTTTTGGAATTTTGATATTCTTTGTTAGACTACACCCACATATGGCGATTAATTGAAAACCTAATGAATTGTGATCGTTTTGCATCAACCTAGACATTGTTGTCTTCCCTCTTTTTCTGTTAAACTTATTCCCGTTCGTGTGAAAACAGGCTGTTACTGCTTTATGTAACTTAATGATCAGTGATTGGGCTGAGAATAAATTAGTGTTGAAGGTAGTACTCTGCTCATTAGTGTGCTGAATGTGTTGCAAATACAATGCTCCTTTTAGCTGAAAAATATATGGGCAGTAAAGAACTTTGTTTCTGTAACTTCAAGATATTGTAGTTTTAGAAAGATACCTAAATGGTTGTAACTCCTTTATATATATATACATATAATGAAAGTTCCTTTCCGCATCAAATTTGTAAATATAGAATTGGAATGTTTGGGAAAATACAAAAAAGAACCTTTTACACGATTCTTTTTTCAGACTAGTTGTGTCAGTGTAGCCGTGGTCACATGGATGGACCATCTTTCATCCATATATTGCAGCATTTTAAATATTTAATTTGGTTAATGTAAGAGCAATATGCAAGCGTAAGCGCTAGTTTCAACTATTTAAATTTTGCATGGGCACTTTAATATGCAAGCATATGCTATGTTGCTGTGGCTTTACATATGGGAACATCTCTCGGATTATTGAACATCAAAAGTCGATTTGCAGAAGTGCACAATATTGATTTACCGTATTTCAATTCTTCATGTTACAAGTTGGTTATTGTATGATTTTCTATGTAAATCTTGTTTCTAGTATGTGTCAGCAAACTGTAGTAAATAGATCACCTTCTTTGCATAACCGTAATCATTCTCTTATTCTTGATAATGGCGTTCCCAACAAGTTCCATATTTATCGAGCAAGTTGCTTTTTAGTTCCCCAAACCCTGTGATAGTTCCGTTTTGGGAAGCAAGTAAAAAAGGCTATTGATGTTACTTTTCCATTATCTTTTCTGTATATTGGATTGAACCATTTCTAGTTGACTATTTAGATTTTTTGAATCAATCAAGGAGTTCCTACTTGCTCTGGTTTTTAATTATAGATTTTATTGAAGGATCGCATTAAGATGTTATAGTGTTAAGTGAAAATATGATGTGCTACAGAGGTATTATTAGTTTTGTAATTTTTTTCATTAGATTTAGCTATTGTGTTTTGGTTGATTATGAGAGAATGATGCTTTGTCCTTGTTTCTTTACCAAATTCTAGGAAGGAATGGTTTTAGGTGTGATCTTGTGCTGAATGCTTGAAAGTATGTGTTATGGTTGATATATATATATATATATATATATATATATATAATGACAGGAGGGCTTCTATTGATAAGTTTGAATTCAAATACCATCAGAATGCAGTACACAGAAAGTCATTTCTTAATTTCTGCTTTATCCTCTGTTTTTTTTCTTTTATATATAGTAATAATTAGACTCATGGAATGCAAGTGGTTCTTCATCATTTGTGCTTGTTGATCCCTTCCCCTGCCTCCTCCTGGATTGGATGCAAGAAGTAACCTTTATTCCTTTGATTATGATTTGAGATGGATTCTCATTCTACTTACTCTGACCTCCTGGTAGCACTGAGCCAGCTTGGGGTGTAGCAGCAAATTTGACTCACGGGGCAATTGGTAAATGAGCTAGTCAGTATTGAGTCAGTAACTCATTATTAACCCATTTATGACGGTCATAAACGGGTTGGGTGTTAAATGGGCAAGTCAACCCACACTCAACCCAAAAACCTGAATATTTTTAGATACAAATTGTCCCAATAACAAATAGTGTTATTGTTAAAAAAGTTCCTGTAAATAAAAATACATACTATTCATATATATATATATATTTATTTACTTTATTTGAAGAAGCAAATTTTTTTTTTTTTCTCTCTTACTTTTCTCTTTCAAATCTACATGTACACAGAGTAAATAAAAGCAGTTTTTTTCTCTTTAACTGCTTTTTTTTTAATTCTATCTAAATGTACATATACACACAGGGACAGAGCCAACGAAGGCCTATGGGGGACACATGCCCCCCCTGAATTGGCCAGCAACTTATAATATATGTGATAATTTTTTTAAAAAATTCCATATATATGACAAAATTTATATAGTGCCCTCCTCAAATTTGTAATTCTTAAAATTATATTCTTATTTTTTCTTTATTTTTCTCTTTTTACTCTTTACATTCCTAATTTTTCTTCCTCAATTGAAACTTTTTAACTATTTTCTGTTAAAAAAATTTCATTTTTATTTTCCTTTTATATTTTAATAATTTTCTTCTTCTTTGTCTTTTTAAATTTTATAGTTGTTATATATATATGTACTCCGTATTATTATTATTATTATTTTTTGACAGTGTGGCCCCCTCACTTGAAATCCTGGCTCCGTCACTGTATACAAAAAGTAAATAAAAGCATAAAGTAAATAAATGCAGTTTTTTTTCTCTTTAGCTGCCAGAAACTAAATTTAAAACTGTTTTTTTTTTTTTCTCTCTTTATTGATTCGCACTGTTACACGTGCTGGGAACTTTGCCACTTACCACAACAAAAAGATAATAATAGCGAGAAACGGAGAGGAGAGAGAGAAAGCAGAAAGAATGTGGAGAGAGAAAAACAGAGAAAGGAGAGAGAGACGAAGAGAGAGGAGAGAAAAAGGAGGGTTTGCGCAGGTAATTGGGTTTGGGTATATTTTGCCGGCCCTACTGGTAAGTTAATGTTTACTAATTTGGTTATAATTAAATTGTCCTACTCCGAATTTACTCTTTTTTTTATTAGCATGAAAGGAAAAGTTGTAGTTTTAGAAAGTGGAAAACAAATTAGGACCTAATCAGACAAGCTTGAAATAGAAATTAAGCCCCAAAAAATTGACACCAATTAGATTGTGATTTCTTAGAAAGTGGAAAACAAATTAGTACCTAATCAGATAAGCTTGAGATAGAAATTAAGCCCCAATGGCAAAAATAACACCAATTAGATTGTGATTTCTCAAATCCTGCTGAAGAATGCAATTTAAACACTTCAACATCCGTAGACTGTACCATAAAACCACGAAGGAATTTCCCCAAATTTGTAATCCATAGCAAAATGACACTAAATTGGATTGGAACTGAGTTATCATTAATTACCATGTATAAAAGTTATGCAATTACGCTCGCAAAGCAATAAATACTATTTTTTTTTTTTTTTTTAAATTACGAGAAGGAAGAAGCAAAAGAAGGCAGTGAAAATTTTCCATCTGAGATGCTTAACAATTGAACGTAGACCTCGCACTACTATGTTCAGATTTCGCACTACTATGTTCAGATTACGTCAACATACAGAATCTGACCATGCATGCAGTATTAAATGTATAAAAAAGGAATGGACCATATGTGGCTTGGCTTTTATCCTTAAACCGCATAGCAACAGCTAATGTAAGTTGCAAGTCCAAACACACCTAAAGAGGACCTTTTTTTTTTGTTTTTTTTTTTTGTTGGGGGTGGTGTTGACTGGTGTTGTCAAAAGCCAAAGTATTGACCGGAGTCTTTTCAAGCTCTACCAATAATGAACACCTAATATCTAGGTCTAACTTGATCACAGGACGAGAGTTTATCTTCAGACATGACAAAAGATCAGTTTTTCTTTTTCTTTTTTCTTTTTCCTTTTTCCTTTTCCATACAAATCACAAACATTACACGCATACCCAAGGCCAGTTTGCATTTTCATTAGATACAAATAATAGCTTTACATATAAAATTGATTTCTTCAGGATTTTTGCAAAAAAAACCATATTCTTTTCCAGTAATTATTCTGAAACCAACCAACCTATACTCTCACACTCTTGACGGGAGCCCATTCTCCCCACTCATATGATACACAACACCTTTACGGAGTTTATTGGAATAAAGAACTCATCACTATAAGAGGTAAATCAAAGCCCTACATGAGGGGAACATACGCCATTACTTGGGTACCTGGTTTTGTGCCTGATAACCCTGTGGTTTTGTTGGACATGCTGCAGACATCACACGTAAGCGCCTAGCAATTTCAGTGAATGATGGGCGGACCACTGGATCTGGGGCCCAACACTGCTCCATTAGTAATCGCCATTCAGGGTCGCAGTAGCTTGGAACGGGTGGTCTCAATGTGTTGTTCACAATGCCCCCTGCATGCGAGGAAAGAGATCAGTAAACTGCATATAGATAATAGATCAGGTCTTATTACAGGGGAAAGCATCATGCAGGCACTCTACACACTGCTATGAGATGAAACCCTCATACATTGACACAAAAACCTTTTAGTAATTTTATTTCTAAATGTGAAGATACTTTTATAACAAACACAAACCACATAGAGAGAGAGAGAGTCATAAAATTATTAGAATATAGATATTTACACATTAGAAGAAGTTCAGGAGCCCAAGAGGAATGTTAAACATAAATAAATGATTTTTTACGTTTCATTTCAAGAACAAGTCTTATACTGCAACTAATGTAAAAAATGATAATGCCTAATTCCAAACATTTGTTACCTAAAACCCCATTGTGGTCGTCTCAGATAAATTACAGTGGCAGTCATTTTCACTATTAGGCGGCAGGCTTTCTGTGAAAAATGATTCTCCCATCCATATATCCAAAAATCTTGATGATAAGCTTCCTAAAGTTTACCTTGATACTTTTATGATTTAGCCTCCAATAACAATATACTTTGGGAGCTTCTCTCTCCCATCCATATCCAGATTTCTAGTAAGTTTGCTCCACTTCCAAAAGCAGTAGGACCAAACAACATTGGTAGGGAGAATCTTAGGAATGGTAGAATTTGAATGGCTAACAAATTTATTTGATAAATTCTAGAGGAACACACGATGCCCAATGAATGGAGGACAAGTACAATAGTCCCAATCTACAAAACTAAAGGAGATACAGAATCACGGCAATTATCGAGGAATTAAATTAAAGAGTTGCACTATGAGGCTATAGGAAAGGGTAATAGAAAAAAAAAAAAAAGATTAAAGAAATAATGTGATGCGACTGAAAATCAATTTGGATTTATGCAGGAGAGATCTACTATAGAGGCTATGTAATTTGACTGAAAATCAATTTGGATTTATGCAGGAGAGATCTACTATAGAGGCTATTTACTTTCTTTATTTTTTTTTTCCTAAATGGCTATTTACTTAATTAAGGCAGTTAATGAAAGATTGCAGAAGCAGACAAAAGGATCTACACATAATTTTCATAGATTTGGAGAGGCGTATGATAAAAAAAACCTAGAGATATAATTAATTTGGTGGGCTTTACAAATAAACATATTCCTCTAAGATTAATAGAACTTATTCAGGATATGTACAAGGATACAAAAGTAGACTTCATACTATATATGGAACCTGGGGAGGGACTAATGATTTTCCTAATAAAATGGAGCTACACCAAGGGTCAGCACCAAGTCCATATTTATTCACGATAATCTTGAATGAAATAACGAAAGACTAACAAAGAGACATTCCATTGTGCATGTTATTTGCGGATGACATGGTGCTCCATATTAATAAAATTGGAAACTCGGATAAGCGCATTAGAGTCAAAGGGTTTTTAAATTAATAGAAATAAAACGGGACATGTGGAATGTAAATTTAGCAATACTATAGAAAATGATAATGTAGGAACAACAATTCAAGACCAAAGCATTATTATAAGTACTCATTTTTTTTATATTTAGGATCAATCGGACAAAACGATGGAGAGACTGATGATGATATAAGTAGTAGAAGACGAAAAAGTTGGACAAAATGAAGGCAAACTACTTATCAAAAAAAAAAAAAAAAAATGGAGGCAAACTAGCGGCATTCTCTATCATAATGGAAATCAAAAAAGTTAAAAAGGGAAAGTTTATAGGACAGTTATTAGATCGGTTATCTTATATAGAGCAGAGTTTTGGGTGTTAAAAAAGAAACAAGAACAGCATGTTAATGTAGCAGAAATGCAAATACTGAGATGAGTGTTAGGAATAACTAGAAGAGATATGGTTAATCAACATGTAAGAGAGAAACTATGAGTGGCGTCTATTAGTGAGAAAATTAAAGAGAGTAGATTTAGGTTGTATGGACAAATTCAATGTGGACCTCAACCCCAAAGGATTGGCTCAAGCGGGTAAGTCACTTCGCCCTGGTGCCTCAGGAAGTATCAGGTCTAAGGTTCGCCTCCTCTTGGGAGCAAACAATTCCTTTGGGGGGGTTGTGTACCAACTAGGAAAAAAAAAATTGTGGAACTCTAGATGCACTAGTTAGAAATAGCAGATTGGTTCAGATAAATGGTAAGAGACACAGAGGACGACCAAAATTAGTATGGAATGAAGTAATAAGAAATAGTTTTCAAAATTTAAATCCGATCGGTGAAATGGCTCGTGATATTAAAAGAACGGAAAAAGTTAAACCATGAGGCTGATGATGGTGATGATGTGTGTGCTTCAGAAGTGTCAAAAGGGGCTCTCTAATGGGTCATGACACAGGTTAAGTAAAACAGTCATAAACTTACAATAACTCAAGAGACATTTTTTGTTAATATAAATTATTTGACAATAAAATATGTCATTCCGAGTGACATGAACTTCATTTTTTGTTTCTTGTTGCTGACACTGATTTTTCAAAATCAGACACGTATTTTTCTTGAGAACAACCACAATGCGGAATATTTGTGAAGGTACGTCTGCACTCTGAATCCAATCCCCTCCACGCTCCCCAACCCAAAAAAAAAAAAAAAAAAAAGCATCCTTGATTTACGGAGACCTGGTAATGACCCTTTAGATTCTTACAATAAATTTACCAAATTTCAAATTTTAGTATGTTTATTATCAACGAGTACTTCTTTGATTTATTTATACAAAGTCAATAATCAACCTTGGCCATTCCAGGATCTGATCGTTAAAGAGGTCAATTAGCTGCGAGCCTGTTGCATGTTTCTTAACCCATCAAAAACACTAGTGGATCTCAACAGAACTACAATTTAGAGTTAGTTTATTCTATATTGTATTAGATTTACCAAGAGCCCTTTTTTTTTGCTCTTTGCTTTTAGTTTTTCTTTCACTGTAAAACAATATAATATTCTTCTAAAACAGAAGTCCTTTTGGTCTCAAGGAGGCATATGAAACCCTGCCTCACCACCTATGAAGTACAAAAAAAAAAAATGGGTAAATACAAGTACGGACATGACAGTCCCAACAAATTCTTACAAACAAGACTCATATATAGTGAGGAGGTGGCAACATATACACATGAATATATTGTATGTATGCACTCATATAAGGGAGTATTTTCTAGCCCTACTCTTGCACATCTCTCTTCCACCCCTTCTATGCGCGGCCATATATTTGTGTTCATGAGCCCCTTATCAACACACTCAAGCATAGTTCTTAAATACATAATTGGGCAGCTGTGTCAACTAGCAGTTATGTCTGGACGATAAGGGTTGACATGAGGTTTCCTATGACCACCCCCTAAACCCTTCAAATCTTTGTTAGGTTTAGTTTTATGCAAACCCTCTTATAATTGTTGTGTGTGCATTCATATGTGTAAACACACACAACAACAACAACAAAATTCTAATATGCTTTATATACACACGCATATACCACGGCTAAACCAAAACTGCCAATGATATATCAAGCTTATGCCTAGACTATCCTCTTTTTCAAAAATAAGAGCTCATATTTTCAAATTATGTTTTCTTAAATACATTGGTAGAATATGTGTTATTATGGGTATATGGATTAGCTGTTATATACTATAGTAATGCTTCAAAGATGAGAAAAAAAGGTTTCTAGATAACCTTTTGATTGCATGGGCATTCCTTTGGTATATGCACTTATTGCTATGCCAAGGTAGTGTTTATAATTATGACACTTCATTTTAATTTCCCAAAAAAAGAGTTAGTGTTTATAATCTGTTTAAAAAAGGGTAAATTACCCTCAGATCCCCTGAAGTCAAAATTGTGGTCAACTTCCCTTGAGGTTTTGCAAAATCACTCTGAACAACTCTTACCATCATTGGCCAGTCGAAGGGGTGAATTCAGAATGTTAGATATTATTATAGGGGTATTATTGTATTTATTCTCATCTTAATATATGAGTTATTCTAGGGTTCTGACTACATGCCTCTTATTTTTCTCAGTTTTCTCTCCTCCCTCTTCTCTTCTTCTAACCTAACCCTAAAACACACACATACAAGCTTCAACTTGGTATCAGAGCAGAAGATTGAAGGCTAGGAAACATTTGTATCAAGTTTTAGGAGATCAGAAAAGCTGCAGGTCATCATTTGTATGCTGACGTCAGCAGCTGGTCAATGCTCGCCAGAATTTCCTAGTAATTATGGTGGGTTTTGTTCTTCATTTTGAAGCTCTTTTGGTGTAGTTTCAATTTTTTTGAAACATTTTCTGGATTTCTGCCCCTTTGTTTTGATCTGCTGTTTTGGAGTTTTTTTGGCTGCCTTTTTGCTTCAATCCAACCAGGGGTGGCAATTCGTGTTCGCGGGTCGTAATCGTGTCATGTCGATTTAAGGGTATTCTACTAAACAAGCCCAACCCAAACATAACCCTTTTAATAATCGTGTCAGGAATCCTCAACACTAACCCGACCTGTTTATTAAATGGGTTACACGTGTAACCCGTTTAATGACTTGTTTAATAAAATCAAATATTTTATTATTTAAATTATTAATAATGCTCAATCAAACATTAAATACTAGAAAAATATAAGTTTTAATCCAACCAAATTACTAAACAATCTCTAATCTACAAAAGAATAATTATAAGATACAAGTTTAGATAGTTATTTTGGAACTTAAATAGAAATTTGTTTATGACACGTATAGTTAAACGGGTATAAAGGGATTGAACCCCTCAACCCAAACACGACACGATTAACTAAACGGGTTAATCGTGTAGACTAGTTTACGACCCGAACCCGTTTAAGGTTAACCCAAACCCGTTTAACTCGTGTCGTGTTCGAGTCATGTTGGCAGGTCGTGTCAAACTTTACCACCCCTAAATCCAACACAGAGGAATGTGTTTTAGATACTTGTCAAAAAAAAAAAAAAACGAATGCGTTTTAGATATTTGAATCATTGTCTTGAATTTGGTTGCAAGATTCAAAGAGTTGCATAGATTTTAGCCA